TGACTGAGAAAGCTTAAAAGACAGAAGGAAACTGTTTTCGCCAGGGAAGCTTCTGTCCGCTCTGGTCTTTACCTAGGCTGGCCGGTTGACCTCAAGGCTCTGGGTGGAGTGTAGAGTTGCAAGAGCTCACTGAAGTAAGATCAGTGCAACATCAGTGCTGGTAGCAGTGGCTGCAGTTACGCTTTTCTGGGAAGCTTTGCAGAAAGTAAAATGTGCCTCACCTGCACATTTCCCTTCTGGTGTTGTTATAACTGTTTTATTCCACAAGCAAAGAACAAACTAACTGGAACATGTCTCACCTGTAACTACTTGGGTGGGGTTGACAGCTGTAACAGTAACGTTCCCTTGTTGCAGGGCTGAAGCTGGCACCACAATCTGGCCCTGGGGGCTGAGGGTGCCTGAGATGGAGCTTGGAGTCTGGAAATGAAAGCATTCGCACACAAAATCGTTCGTACTCAGATGGCTGGCTTTAAAACACACGCTTTGCTAAGATCTACACAAGAAAGTGGTGGAGCTGCAGTGGTAGCAACCCTAAGTTGGTGCATGGGGCGCCTACACTGCACACCTGAGTCTTGGTGGGTGAGAAGTTCTGTGCCTGGCCTTGCACCGGGGAGTACGGGCTTCCTGGATCTCCACTCAGAAGAGTCTCGCTGTTCATCTTAGTCTTGAGGCAGGCGATGTAGCGGCTGCAGAAGTCCTTACACAGGTCACTCACCTTCTCCAGCTCCAGCAAATGGATCCGTAGCACTTGAATGGCTTTCACCATCTGAACGTTGAAAATATGAAAACAAAGAAGGGGTGATCAATCGAACCTCCAACCAGACTTTATCCACTGGGCCCTGTTCATGCAATCACTTTTAACAAAGATAATAGCATAAAAGAAAAAGAGAGTTAGCAGAGTCACACAGACAACTACTGGTGCCTTTACAGTGAAACCAGTGACACATCCTCCGGGTGTCAAACAATTAGAAACAGACTCAGAGTTTATTCAAACAACACTCAGAGTAACGGCTCCCTCACACACACACACACACACACACACACACACACACACACACACACACAAACACACGTGTATATATACATATACAGACAGATAAAAATGGAATAAACAAGTGTGTTGTGTGTCACTGTGAGCTATTATTTTACAAGCCTGTTGTGAAATTTTACTGACAACATGAAAAAAACAGCTGAGCTCTGCCTTTTATTTCTCTGCAAAACAATAATAACAATAATAATAAAAAAAGAAACTATTAAAACTCACCAAGTTATCAAGTTTAGGGTCTTCACTGAAGAAGGGCTTCCCCTCCTTCTCCTGACAGCGGACAAAGTTCTCGATGTCCACGTCAAAGCTGGCCGATGTGATGCATTCGGAGCTTAGTGTGGACTGCTCACACTTCTCAAAAAGCAGAGCCAACAAGGGAAACAGGGGATGTCTGTGGAATATTGGCCAACAGTTACAATGCAGAACTACACTTTGTTTATTAGCACCCGTTATTGGGTTTCATGTAAGGAAAAAATAGCAAAATATCATAAACCCTTGGAGCATTTCATAAACGGTGCAGTGATATTTACTCCAAGTTATATGGACTGAGAGACAACACTGTCACAAAATACGTCAAAAACAAGGTTTTATTACCGATATATAGATGCTTTGTCAGCATCCATGGGTGTCTGTGGTTCGGTGGGTACCGGGTTGGACACTTCAACCAATGTCCCTTCAAATTTAGACTCAGAGTTGCAGTCTACCTCTACCACACTCTGAATCTGCAACGATTAAGCAAAATGAGAGCAAATCAAATGAACAGGAAACCTGAGACAGGCAGAGAATACAGACTGAAGTCATGTGAAGACCAAAAGTAGCTGGAGGATGAAGCGCAATACTACGACTCGACTTCAGGGTCCTGTTATTGTACCCGCTGGCCCAGGGGCCACAGGCCCTTTGGAGCATAAACTGATGCAGGGCATCTCCACTTTAAAGGCGAATGTATACCGTCCCTGTTTTAACTCAAATCAATCGGAAATCGTAACATGGACTCTTGGGATAGTTATGTGCAAAAGTATTCATACACTTGAAACTTTTCATCTGTTTTCCCCAGACAGTCTCACACTTCAGTGTACTTAATGGGATCAGGACTTTGACTGGGCCTCTGCATTTTGCCTTCATTTTGTTCTTCTTTGGCCATTCCAAGGTGGACTCGCTGGTGTGTTTTGGATCATTGTTCTGCTGCAGAACCCAAGTTTGTTTGATCATAAGGTCGTAAAGCGATGGCCGGACGTTATGGCAGACAGCAGAATTCATGGTTTCAGTTATCAAATCTTCCAGGTCCTGAAGCAGCTTAAAGTTGGGCATAAAGTTCCTTTTCTGAAATGCGGTGTTACTTTTATGCCAGCTGTCATGGCAGGCACACACATTCCCAAGAGTTCAACTTTGGCTCATCTGTCGTAGGAATCAGATGAGTTCCTTTTCTTTTTAAGAATTTTTTGCCACGAGTAGCCTTTATCTGACCGTAATCTAACAGGAAAACGGCAGAGAGAATGGGGAAAGACGTGCGGCAAAAGAACGAAGGACAGAACTTGAACACAGGGTAGCCATGTTGAGGTTGGGGTATGCACAGCGCTCATCGGCGCAACATGTGCTCTTGAAAAACCGAAAAGAGCCTCAAAGTTCTTCTTACTCAGCAAAGGTTTTCATCTTAAAACTCTGCCATGCAGGCCATTTTTGTCCAGTCTCTTTCTTATGGAGGAGGCATGACCTCTGACCTTAACTAAGGCAAATGAACACTGCAGTTTTTTTTGTTGTTTTTTTTTTGGATGTTGCTGTGGGGTTCTTTTAGGGGGCAAACTCCCCCCCCCCCCACTTCTGAATTAAATGACTGTTTATTGTGTCACCAAGAGCTGACAACATAAATGTGCACAAACTGTGCAACTCTCCTCCTGGTTACGTGCCAACACATATCCAAATGGTGTGGCGCTACCTCATAAAATTAAAGTTTAGAACATTGCAAGTTGGTTCAATGTTAACAGAGGTTTGTCAACAACAGTTTTTACATACATGAATTCAAACTCAGGTCTCTCTTGCACCCACCTGCTGCTCCCCCTTTGGGTATTTGTCTATAGAAACCGCCTGGGCTGCCATCACGATCACTGCCAGCACTGGGGCATTATAGAAACCAGGGACAGATGGCCAACCTACACAATGCACAAGCTCAGTTAAACCACTGAAAATTCAACCAAAGAGGCTGGTTAAAAATATCTGGAAAAAGGCTACAAGTTAGTAATAAAATATATTTTCCAAATACAAAAACCTGGAACACTGCTGCGATAAAGTATCAAAAGTTTAAATAAAACCCCCTGATTCCAAGAACTAAGCAGAACGTGGAATGATAGTTATAAGGAAAAAAAAAAAGAGAAAGTGAGACAACGTCGAGGCGCAGCGTCCATCACTTTATTTCTGTACACCTTTAATAATTCAGCTAATAACATAGTTATATAGTTAGCGTTGGCGTGCAGCCGTGTTAACACACCCACCATGAAGTAGCCTTTACCCGATGTTAGCGACAGACATTTTGTACACAGAATACATTTAATTACTTGGGGCAATTTTACTTTCAAACATGAATGCACATATTTAAAACTCTAAGCTGTAAAGTTTGAATTAACTCGCTCTCTTAGCTGTGCCGTAGCGATAGCATCGCGTTAGCGTTAGCTTGTGATACAAGTCTGATGCAAAACATTCGGATCCAGCTAATGCTAAATATAGTGAGCTAGTTGCTAGTCTTGAACGGCAATGTCCAACAATCGTCGACAGTTTCATATTAACACACTGAAGTGGATCTAATTATTAGTTAAGTATAGAAATGTATGGCAAAATAAAACTGACGTTACTAAGCGGCTACGGGAAATAAGACCGCTGCAGATTGATATGAAGTAAGCCGTAAGACCAGGGGATATGAAACATCTCATTTTGGCTTTGGTCGAAAAAAATAACACAGTAAGTGCTTGTTAGTTTTCAACTCAAAATAGATTAGAACAAGGAAACGTTAGCAGCACATGACGGTAGCTCGCTTTGAGCTCAAATCCTTCCCATCAGTCAATCAATCATGCAGGGACAGCTGCCTTCTCCTTGTCTTTTCTCCCCTCCCCTCTGCGCTAACACTGCCGGGCCTAATCTACAACTCTGGCCCTTCACTTCAGCACAATCCTCCTCTGCCCCTAAAACTCCCGAGATTTTTCCTGACCCCCCTCCCTTATATACATATTTATATAAAAATATAGAAATAGAGACATATAGACAGATGGATGTTATCACAGTAGCTTTATCGCTTCGACTTCATTTCAAAAAACAGCCTCGGCTGTTTCGCCCAGGTTCACGCTCTTTGCCCCGGGGCATTTTAGCGTGCGGCCTAGATTGTTTGATTGATAGGGAACGGGAAAAGAGGGATTTTGAGTGACAGCTTACCTGAGTGCCAATCTTCGTCACACTGACAAGCGGTTGCAGCAATCGGGACCCGCAGTTGTCGTGTTGCGTCATCACGCAAGGGTACGTTGCTGCGCTATGCTCATGTATATGTATGAAGCGGGCGGAGAAATGACGTCCTGACGCTTGGAGTCCTTGGAAGATTTTTTTTTTTTTTGGTGCTTATTTGAGTAAGGGTTTCTTTGGTTTCATTATTTACATTTCGGTTAAACGTAAAGCTAACATACGCATAGCTCATTTCTGATCAGGGCAACTGTGATTTCCAAACAATAATCATTAGAATAGAAATGTATACACCATGTGCTCATTCTGCTCTATTTTCTCGACCCCTTAAGGCTTAGAAGCAGCCTATTTATTTTTATTTATAAATTATATAATATATATATATATATATCACATTTTAATTACCACATGCCTCAACTGAAGTTTCTTCAGCCGGTAGAAATACCAGCGGGGTATCATGAGCAAGTTCTCCCTTTACATGGCACTAAACAAAGCAGCCATTGCATCAGACAAAAACACTTCATTTCTTACACTTCTTTAATCATAACACACTTTAACAACTGGTTTCGCAAGATCGCCACCACCGCTGTCCACACCACCTACTCCCTAGTGTCTGGGTGACGGTCTGCCGGACGAGGGCTGAGGGAGACGATACTTGGCCATCTCCACATCCAGGTCTGCAAATGTGAAGCTGGTGTAGCTGTGGTGCTGGTAGTTCTTGTAAGTGCTGTTGTCAAAAGGCTCCGGCGGTACTGCTGCCGACTCTGCAGAAGAAAAAGAGAACCTCGTGACGGAGATGCATCTTCCTGCATTTCACACATGAGACACAAACCAGGTCTATTACCTGGAAGCATTTATTTTTTCTTCCCCTAACAGCAAACTGTTTGCAGGCATACACCAATAAGCAGGAAGCCATCAAGAAATGGACTATGAGGATTTTTTGGAGGCTGCGGTTACATATTCACACACTCTGATAAAGAAGTTTATAGCATCACATTTCCCACAATAACCAGGCTTGTGTGAAGACACGCTTGTGGGAAAGACCTCAAGGCTCAAGTTCCTGGCATATAAATAGAAGCCTGTAAACGTAAAATAGATTTAACCAACACAGAGAACGTCCACTGACAAGATTCACTAGGATTTGGGGAAAAAACAACTAAAAATCAGTGTAATACTTTAAGAAGCACATATTTAGTTACATACATTTACATCTAAATGTTACTGGAAAACTGCTGGCAATGAAAATGTCAGGCTCACAACCAAAGGGGGAAAAAATTCAAGCACAACTGACATTATTTGTTATAAACACTCCAATACATTATTCCCAGATAAAGGACAGACCAAAAAGTTAAGAGAGAAATAATACCCAGGTATAATCACCTGGGAAGCAAGAAAATTTGACTTTTTGATGAAGTGTCAGAGCTTAGAAACACCAGTAACCTTACTTTATAAAATAAATTAACAGAGTCAAACCATCTCACCACTCCCAGCATGTGCACCAAAGAGAGGAATATCTACGTCTAAAAGCAAGCAAATCTTCCCTCAAAAATGTAGATAAATCTGAGAGCGAAGATATAAACAAAACAAACTACAGAACATTCAGAAACATGATGAGGATCAGAGTAAGAGTACCCAGCCTGGAATATCGGTCTGAAAAAGTAAGCTCTAATGTTTCAAAAGTAAGCACGGACAGAAGCTGCGTTTCCATTACAAATGTGCAAAAAAAAAAAAAAAAAAAGCAATTAAAATCACACTTGAATAAGTTTGTTTATGCATTAAGTCATTAAAAAACATGCTGTGCCATCATCCTCCAACTAATTTTCTCATCTTCTTCTTTGTGGTTTGCACCATTGGTAACAGCCAATTGTTGATCATGTGACTTGTGCGATGCGAAAAAAGTGTTTCCATCGCAGTTTTGAGGGGGAAAAAAATGATACAGCCAAAAAAAAAAAACAACAAAAAAACAAACAAAAACAAAAAAAACCCCACCTCACCCTAGTGTCACAACGGTTTCCATTAGGTGCATTTATTCAATGGAAACGCAGCCAGTGATCACGTCATCATGCACTACAATGAACAACATGGTTGACTACATACAGTGTGTGTGATTTATATATTATATATATAAATATATACACACTATATTACCAAAAGTATTTGCTCATCTGCCTTAACTCACACATGAGCTTAAGTGACATCCTGTTCCTAATCCATAGGGTTCAATATGACGTTGGTCCACAAGGCTGTCCATAAGCTTTAGGAGTGTTTATGGGGATTTTTGACCATTCTTCCAGAAATGAATTAGTGAGGTCACATACTGATGTTGGACAAGAAGGCCTGGCTCTCAGTCTCCACTCTAATTCACTCCAAAGATGTTCTGTTGGGTTGAGGTCAGGACTCTGTGCAGGCCAGTCAAGTTCATCCACACCAGACTTTGTCATCCATGTCTTCATCAGCCTTGTTTTGTGCTCTGATGCAAAGTCATGTTGGAAGAGGAAGAGGCCAAGCTCCAAACTGTTCACACAAAGTCGGGAACATGGAATTGTCCAAAGTGTCTTGGTATGCTGAAGCATTCAGAGTCCCTTTCATTGGCACTAAGGGCCCCGCTCCTGAAAAACAACCCTCCACCAAACTTTACCCTTGGCACAATGCAGTCAGACAAGTACCGTTGTCCTGGCAACCACCAAACCCAGACTCGTCCATCAGATAGCCAGATGGAGAAGCATGATTCGTCACTCCAGAAAAGCATCTGCTCTAGAAAACTGCTCTAGAGTCCAGTGGCAGTGTGGACTTCATCCAGCGCATTGCACTAGGTGATGTATGGCTTGGATGCAGCTGCTTCACCACGTAAACCCAATCCATGAAGCTCTCTGCACACTCTTCTTGAGCTAATCTAGAGGCCACGTGAAGTTTGGAGGTCTGCAGTGATCGACTCTGCAGAAAGTTGCTGACCTCTGACCCTGCTCTGTCAGTTTATGTGTCCTACCACTTTGTGGCTGAGTTGCTGTCATTCCCAAACACTTCCATTTTCTTATAATACAGATGAATGTGGGACATTTAAGAGCGAGGAAATTTCACAACTGGATTTGTTGCACAGGTGGCATCCAATCACAGGTCCACACTGGAATTCACTGAGCTACTGAGAGCGGGCCATTCTTCCACAAAAACAGTCTGCATGCCTAGGTTCTTCATTTTATACACCTGTGGCCATGGAAGTGACCGGAACACCTGATTCCGATAACTTGGACTGGTGAGCAAATGCTTTTGGCAATTAGAGTGTATATATTGTGTACTTTCTGTGCAGAGTGGGTACAGAAAGTATTCAGGCTATTTGGCACTTTGCTGTGACCTGTCACACCAAAGAGTCTGAATACTTACGACCATGGTGAAATTTCAGTTTTTGTTTTTTTAATAAATTTATAAAAAAATTCTACATTTCAGTTTTTTTCTGCCAAGATGGTACGCCGAGCGTACATTCATGAGAAGTAATATGAACTGTTTTGATTTTAGCATATGGCTGCGATTAAAAAGTGAGAAATGTAAAGAAGTCTGAATACTTTCTGTATCCACTGTACATATATATATATATATAATTAAATCGAACCAGAAGAAGGAATGAACCATAAAGTCAAGGAAAAGAACGTTTCCCTCAAATTAGCTGGAATAAGGAATAAGTTTGAACGTTAGATGTTAAAAGTCATAAAAGTTTAACAATACTATGAGTGAAAGAGAATGTGAGGGAACCTGGTATAATAACGTATTCTTAGGGACAGGAGGAAATGCAAAGCCTATCTGGAGAGTTAGAGGTCTGGGGTGAGGGGCAAGGCGGTGTGGTTTATACCCTCAGGCCGTTCAGCAGGGGTCTCGGCATGCAGCTCCTCTCCAGTAGCTTCCACTAGCACCTGGGCAGAGTCCTCCAGCTCAACAGAGGTGCCAACTTCAGCTGGATGGTCAGCAGCTACTTCAGCTGGATGGTCAGCAGCTACTTCAGCTGGATGGTCAGCAGCTACTTCAGCAGAGACGGCCTTCGACTGTACAGCCCCGATAGTAGACGTTTTCCCACACGATTCTTCACCAGCATCCCCTAAGCCTTGTTCCAGTTCTGTAAGCGCATCTACTGCTTTTAAAGGAGAATTAGACTGGGCTTTGTCTGGAGCTTCATGTTGCTCCACAGGTACAGCTGGAGCTTCACACAGGGTATCGGCAGGAGCAGTATGGGTTGGCAAATCTGAACTGGTGAGCTCAGCTGCATTTTTTGTAGCAGTAAGGACATCGAAGGCCGAGTCTCGCAAATTATCTGTGGAGGCCTGGACTACAGACTGATCTGCTGCTTCCTCTGCACTAGGAAGGCCCTTAGCCACTCCACTAACTATAAGCTCTTTAATTTCTCTCTGCTCTTGAAGACCCGGTTGTTGCAATTCCAAAGAAAAGCTTCTGGTTTCAGTTTCTACCTCCAAATTCTCGTCTTCAGGAATGCTCTCAGAGTCTGAGTCTGAGTCTGAGTCTGTATCAGAGTCGCTGGATGATGAGGAAGACAGTTCCTCAGCTGCTGAATCCCCAAGCCTAGCAGAAACCATAGTTGGTTTTACAACATCGTGCACGCTCACAGCAAGGGCAGGAACGTCTCCCGGTACGGAGCCTTTACAAAGTTCCTCGACTGAAGCTTCTTCAGCTGCTACAAATACCGGTAAAGTATCGTGAGCAAGTATCTGAGAACCTTCTTCTTGACTTTGACACAGATCAGATGAAGCAGTGACAGCCGATGATTTTTCTCCAGCAGATTTAGTGGAAGCAGCAACAGATGCTGCTGCTGCAGCTTTTTCTGATGTGGCAGTGAAGCGGACTGGCTCTTTAGTTACACCTAGGAAAGGTGGCAAAACTCCAGGATCCGATAATTTAACTGGAAAGGCCACAGCAGTCTTGTAAGTCCACATAGCTGCCCTCTCATCTTCACCTGCTGAGGAAAATAATAAATTGTACACAAACAGGTAAATGCTAGGAAAGGTGACTAAACAGAAAGGTTCTTCTAAAATCTTATTTCCAAAAACTTGGTCTCACTCTTTGCATACCAACTTTACTTGAAATTCACCACAGAAAGACATATTTAGCTTAGTTCTTGCTAAAACTTACAGACAGTTAGAAAATATTATTATAATGTTTTCCAAAAAAAAAAAAAACATGGACTGAAAAGTAAAGGGAAAAAAAGCACTATGATTCATTAAAAAGTCAGGAATACATTTCTATACAAAATACAAATTAAAATGATTTAGAAAATGATGTAAGTTATGCGTAGCCTATTTAAAATGAATCTACATACATGCAGACCATTTAAAAGTATTTAAATATAAAGTGACAGACTATAGTTACTTAGATAAGAGAACAGAAAAATGATAAGACATACAGAAAACTAAGTAAAATGTGGGTTAATGATACACAACATCATAATCATAAGTTTTCTTAATATTGTGAGAGGAATTAATTATAAGCTGTAATCAATTAAAACAACGTTTAATTGACCTCCGGATGAGCAAACAAGATGGCGACAGCTTAGCCAAGAAGCTCCTTGACAAATTCTAAAAATCTCCTGTTTCTATGCAGCATATAAAATACACTAATGAGTGAGTCACAATGCCTAAGTCCAAATAAAAATAAGCTCTACTGTCTTCGACAGTTGATTTTACAAGAAGAAGAAATGAACGAGACTAGCCTCTCGGACTTGGAAGCATTACTGGTGGCTAACAACGTAGCTGACGAGACAGCTAATTTACCAACTGTTCTCCAAGAACTGAGAGAATCCCGTCGTGAAAATGTAGAGGGCTTCCAAGAAGCCAAAGAGGAAAAAAAAAAAACAAAACGGAAAACTGGATGTATTTTGGAAGCAGATTGAAGAGCCAGATATGAAGCTAAGTAAATCACAGGATGAGCTTGAGGCTGAACTAACTGAGATCGAGACTGGAAAACAAAGAGCTCCATGGCATCGCAAAAGGCTCCGAGGACGACTCATCCTCTATGTCAGCCTTCATAGAGATCTACTCCGAGACAAACTGGATATTCAAACATTATTTAACCTGGGTATTGAAAGAGCTCACCGCTCCCTGGGACCCAGACTTCCTCCTGATGCTCCCCCACATTCAATAATAACCAAGTTCACCACATTTATAGTGGTGAACTTGATTCACCACTATAAATGTGGTGAATCATTTATAGTGATTCACTATGAATGAATCACTATTCATTTATAGTGAAAGATGAAAGGCGCTGAAAGCCTTTCATCTTTACGCCTTTCAGCGTAAAGATGAAAGGGAAAAGAGTAATAGACAGTGGCTATGCCCCAGACATGCTGCTGAAACATTGACATGAACACCTTGAAGCGACGGGGGTCCTCAGAGAAACGAAGATCAAATTCCAGACCCCATTCCCAGTCAAGTCGTACTTTACGAGAACAACACACGTGTCTGCAACTACGCATCTGCAGCAGTGAAAGACGGGGCGAGTCGAGGCTCCAAAGTCACCATCATCCAACTATCTAGGATCAAGAGTGCCGAGTCGGGAAGGACAGACAAGGAGCATCCAATGAATGAAACACAGGAGGGACAGAAGAAGAAGCTGGACGCTTTCAGAAGAGAACAAGCAAAACCGTAAAGGACAAAAGGAGCAGATGGGTCAAACATTTCCCATTTCTTTGTGAAGTGATTTGGAGTCGGGGATCGTACACGGTAAAAAACACCGCCTGGAAAATGGAACGACATAACTAGCAAAAAATGTAATAAATTAATTAGAGGATACCGGACATTTAATAATCACATGAAGGGGCATTCTGTCTGGATTAATAACCAGAGAAATGTAAAAGATTGTATTACTCTTTGTGAACAGACGAAACACATTTTTGTCAAGTTGCTCCTAAATTTAAAAAAATAAAGAAATACATTTTGAATTAAAAACTGTACAACCCTTGGCAAAATAACTATAAAAGAACTACAGCAGACATTTGATCCAGCAGATCGGGGAGAGAAAGGGGTTTTCCCCAAAAGCACCTCGATTTCTATACATGAGCAGAACTTTAAGTTCTTCTGCTGAACTTATTGTTTAAGTTTGGTAGAATGTTCCCTGGATATACTGGATGAGTACTGATGATTCTGATGATGGGCCTCATCAAAATATATTTGTCACTGGTTATCTCAATGGTTGACTGTACTGTGTTTTTTCTGACGTTGTATTTTTGTGCTGCAAAGCAGTCTGAACTCCACGGTTTCTGAAATGTGATATACAAATAAGATAGATTGATTGGGAGAAAAGTGGAAAAAAACTTTTTTCACCTTAAATCAGTCATGATTAGTTGCTTCTAGGAAGATTTCTATTTGATTAAATTATCCTAAAAACAGTCAAGGGAAGTCTAAGCAAGTTTCAGACGAAGGAAATTATGCTGCTGTATTTGGCCTGTTCACTCCCCAACTTAATGCAATTTAATTCAAATTCAATTGAGTTTATTTATGCAACGCTAATTTACAACTACTATAAATCTACGCAAAAGATTTGAAAGTCATCGTAAACCTTAACGATTTGAAGGGAATTTGTCAAAATAACACTATGAAGCTACCATTATGTTCCAGATATCAACACAGGTAACTGGTCTTACTCTTGTCTGGATCCTTTGCATTTTTCACTGGTTTTACTGGCTCTTTAGCTTCACTGCAGAACAAAGCAAGTGGGTAACGTCTCAGAGAGCCCCAGCTGTCGAACTGGAGAAACAACAAAGAAGAAGAACAGAACAGTTTTGGAGACAAGTGCTGCACAAACAAATTTAAGTATTACATAGCGTTTTTCAGCCAAAAGCATCAAAGCATAAAGTTCCAGCCAGCTCAGCTGACTCAAATTAGGAGGAATTGCATTTAACACGGTTCACAGGTTTGTTAGAAACTCTATGAGACACAGGTCAACAACTGCCTCGATCAACGACTGCATGACACACGGAGCACAACTTATGAGACGAAGGGTTGTGTGTTTAACCAGGGCAGCAAACCTCATGGGACTGAATTTCCACCAGTATATTTTATTCTCTGTGCACCTCAAACTTCCAGGTTTGACTCCTCCCATCTGTAGTATTACTTTGGAGTTGTCAGGTGAATGATATGGATAGGAAGCTGAGTGCTCTGTACGATGCTTTGTAGCATGGGGTGGGAACAATCCCATCTTGAATGTGAACAAAACAATGACTGGTTGTAAATAGAGTAAAAGTAAAAAAAATAAAAAAAATCACAAGCTATATTTTGTATAACCTGAACAATACCAAGATGGTGCAGATGATGACAGCCTCGGTACTTTGTGTGTTTATTATGATCCATGTCATTACAGTATGTGGACACTTGCACTAGAAAACAACTGGAAACAAACCCTGACCCGCCGCTGCTGCTCTCTATGGGATGTAGATGTGCTTGTGAAGCCTCAGAAAAAGGTCCGTAACCTTTGCCCTCAACCCACCTGTTTTATGTCCACCCTAACAAAGTGGACAAACTGTCGCTTCTCTATCAAGGATTTTCTGCCCTCTGCTTCACTAAAACCCGGTTCAGTGAGCACAACACAGACTTCTGATGCTGTGCTTCCAGCTTTTTGGGGGGCACACTGCAGCTCAGAGGTGGAATCTGCTTTCAAATTAATGAATGTTGGTCTGCCGATGTCGCAGAGTTACAGGAGACGTGTAGTCATCGGTAGTCCTTTCTTATCGACAGCTGTCAATGTACCTGAAATTCTACAAGTCTCCCCGTTAATTAAAATAATTGACAGTCAAATAATATTTCAGTTCAGTAATCAGCGGTTTTGTTGTGTGTCAATCTTGAGTGGAAATGATGGAAATGTTTTCTACACTGAAAACAAAAGGATCAACCCAACTCATGTGGTATGAGCCTTTCTCTCACCGTCTCCTTGCAAATTTATTACATTCACAAAGTTCACTCAGCCACAGTTTTAGAGAAAGTTAATTCAATAAGATTTGATGATTTTTGCAACTTCTGTACTGTTTTTGTTTCGCTAAATTTTATGGCCTGTATTTGCTAAGCTCTGCAAATTAAAGCAATGAAAATCTTACTGTATGTTGTGGAAATTTGATTATTGAGATCGTAACCTTTAAAATTTCTTCATGGGATTGTTGTGCTCAACAAAATGGACAGAGGTTATTATTAGTTGCTTTGATCAAGAAAGTAAACAAAATCCCGGAAGTCTATTTTTTCTAGATGTCTAAAACAACTTGTGCAACTGTGATTGAGGTCATGCGGACACAGCCGTACATAAAGTTACTTAAAAGTAGTAATAAACAGCTCTCACTTTAATCACCATCACAATAGCACAACAAAATATCGCAATAAATCCTAAATCCATTTCATCCAGCCCTGGTCTCAGTATAAGGATGTGTTTTTTTCTGCTTTATTATAGGAGTCATAACACCCACGTCCTTGTCAGTAACGCATAACACACATAAGTAGTTTAAAGATGTGTTTATCTTAGGTTTTTTTAAAAATCTACAGTCAATTTCCTTTTCCTATTTTATTTTATTTTATTTTATTGTAACTTTGAGGGTCATTAGGAACGCTACCATCCATCATGTCACAAAATCAGTTTCCATGCATGCGCTTTAAAACACACTTGTATGATGTCGTAGACGATCTAACACCACCGCAGAATACAGTTTAAAAGCTTTTGTATCAGATAACTAAATATTACCTTGAGAGCACCAAGTCGGCTTGAACGCAGCAACCAGGCAGCCATTTTGTGTTCCAACTGTTTTGTTCCGACTGGCCTCAACCTCTGTGGTTAATGCAATGGTTCCACGAAGAGGCAGCTGCACGCAAGTCCACCTCGCTGCAGCAAACAGAAAGGGGCGGGACGGACCGCTGTCAGTCTCATACCTTATTTGGAAACGGGACCATTGCACTCCGGAAGTGAAGGGGGCGCTATTTCCTATTTTATTCGCGGGTTTCCCGTTTTTATTTTTTTTAAATCTGTGATACAGCTTCATCTTTAGGCAGGATTTTCACTCTAAGCATGTATTCTCTCTTTTATTTACTTTAGCGCAGCTCACAGTTTCTAAATCTGAACTTAGTCTTATCTTTTTGGGCTTGCTACTGCCTCTAGTGGCATGGGGGTGGTAACACAACTAATATAATTCCATCACTAAATCAGAATAGCAGTAAGTCTTTATCATTTAATTTAATTCTGGCATTACTGGAACAGTAAAAAAATAAATTCTCTAATAAAACACATTTTTTTATTTTCTTAATGATGTACAGCTAATTAAATGACAAACAATACCTTTACACATTATAAATAATATAGACCATCAATTCTAGGGGGAACAAAAGAAATTGTAAAATACCATTTATATTATATACATAAGAAACTTATCTGAGCAAAAGTCAATAACGCACAAATGTATAAGGTTCACAGAAGAATTGATCATCAATCATTAAGAAGTGAAGGGGGCGCTATTTCCTATATTATCCGCGGTCTTCCGTTTTTATTATCTTTTGAAATCTGTGATATCTTCTCCTTAAAGAAGTTCCACTCTGCATGTGTTTTAATTTTTTATTTATTTCAGCTCAGCTCACAGTTCTTAATCTCTGTAGCTTTCTGTGAACTTCTAAATCTGCTCCTTAGTTGCATCATTTCGGGTCTCTACTGCCTCTAGTGGTGTGAGGGTGGTAACACAACTAACATATTACATCACTAAATCAGACTACCACAAAGTCTTTATTATTTATTATCAAGTCAGACATTACTGGCGCTGTAAAAAAAAATTATCTAATAAAACATCGTAATGTATGGTTCAAACCATACACTATGATATCCTTTTTTAAGGGTTGCTGAAAAAAAAGGATAGATGCTATCTTCTAAAATATTCCTTGTCGACTTTCATGTTCTTTCAGTAAACAGTTGAGACAGAGTCGTTTTTGGTTCCACCGATATTTACTTGCTATTAAAAGTATTCTTAAACATTTTTCTTTTATTCTACAGCTCATGTGACCATACTAGTTGAGGAGATGAAAAGTTAAAACACTCTCAACCATTGTCCCGTACACAAGTTATAACTGACTAAACCCAAGACCATTAGGTTTTCTTAAAAAGTAGAGTTTCTATGAGCATTTCTTAAAAATATAGTCAGTGTTTTCAGCAAATTGAGCTGAATATTTGCCAAAGTTGCGAACCAAACATTTCAGCTGCCTGAAATAATTTGTCTTCATGAATATTACTTTAAATTCCTCATTTGTTGCTTTCCTCCTAACCACTCTGCTTTCTCCATCTGAACTACACTCTTCTAAACTTCTCTTGCTGTTTTGGCCACCAATGTCTGTCATCTTCCAAAGTTTTATGCTAACCTCTACCTACCTACCATAGTCCATCGTCAAAATCCATATCATCGTCATCACCACCACCACCATCTATCTACCTTTGTTGTCATCCCAATCCAATCACACTCCAGTTTATGCCAACCACCAAAAACAAAACTGTGCATCAAAAACAGTTCAAACTTTTCCTCCATTGACTTGTGAGCACTGACACCACAGACCATGTGCAAATACACCTGGGATGTCAGTGGAGGCAAATTATCGGGGTCTCTGCTCCAACTTAGGGTTGCCACCCATCACGTAAAATACGGAATAGTCCTTTCTTTGGCTGTTAAATGGCGTCCCATATTGAAGTGATACGGGACGCGATGTGTTCTGTATTTTTAATTATTTTCCAATAGACACGCCTATAGATGGACATTAACATTAACACTCCAATCCTATTGTCGCTCTGTGGGATTATTATTAGATTATTATTATTATTATTGCAAAGCCCATTTATATTAGGAACTTTATCACCAAGTGAAACACCTGGATTACATTACATGGATTAATTGACAACAGATGTTTGAAAGTCTTTATTTCCCACATAGAGCTAATGAAAACATGACACTTAAAATGAGAATATTACACTGAACCAATAAAAAACTGAAAAAAAAGACAACTTATTTGAGTTCCATGTTATTTTTTTCTTTTTTGAACACCTCTCGATATATGCAACTGAAAAATGATTGAGGAATGAAAAGATTAGACAACAGAAGTCACATTATTTATCGATTTAGATTTAGACAACCTAACTTGCACCTCTAAGATCACGCCGTCAAACCTGATGGCGGTAATGTAAAACCTTATCTTCTACAGGCAAAAATCTACAGTTTCTACAAATCCAATGCTTTATTTTCACATATAAGCACCAGGTCGAGGTTCATTTGCTTGACAATCATACAAATTCATGTTCCTCTGCACAAAGTTGTAAAAGTCAAGTAGAAGTTCTGATGGTTCACTTCTGGGAACCTTCATCCCACTGGGGTTCTAAAACAAACAAACAAACAAACAAACAAACAGCTCTGTCATTGAAATTATTTAACGCAAACATCTTGTTATTTTTAAATCAACTTATCTTCAACAATAGATGCAGAAAAATAAATTTCAAAATCTTTAAACTACAGCCATCTAGTTACAGTAGTAAAATCTGAAAATTTAACCAGAAATATGTGAAGGCGAAAAAAAGTCCCATGTTAAGAAATAATTTCAGAAATCTGTGGTGGGATGGGGCAAAGCACGACCCACATATGGTGGAAGTTGTAGGTTTGTAGGTTCGAATCCCTACAACTGTTTGGGACTTCCTTCTCCACTGCACTAATGTACCTGATAATATATTGTGTTTTTCAAAATGAGCTTTTAGTGTGAGATCATACTACTGCAATAAATGAGAAATTCATTTAAAGGATTTTCACATATCTTCACTGGGATTGTCAAAAACTAAATATGAAACACCCAACTGTTAACTCACCTGTAAATTTGAAATTAGGAAAACTGGTTAGGTCTCCACCACCATACAGTCTCTGTAGCTTCGCCGTCTCCTCTTCCAAAGCCTTTTGATACAGTGGGTCAGCGTCAACCAGACCACCAGCTGCCCTGTTTTGGAACAGGTGAGAAACCAATCAGTCGGCACCTCTTTAGATCTTTTGCACAACAGAGTATCATCATAACACGGAACAAAGTGTTGATGCTTACTGGGAATTTGCTGAATATTCTCGTATAGAGTCCAAGAATAGCCTCTGCACTGGGTCCATGTGAGCTGAGTGTCACAAAAAGACAACAAATTAGATATTATTACCCACAGAAGATTTTAGGTAGAGCAAAAACAATATTTTGCAGACTTTTATCCAATACTTGATAATACATTTTGATTTACTGAATCCATTATGCACAAAAACAGCTTATTTGAAGATTAGACAGCAGACCAATTATCTGTGGTCCACTGAGACAAAAGTGGATTTTTTGTGTGGATGCGGTATAAAATTAACATCTTTTAATAAAAAGAATATACTGTTCAAATATGATGTAAGCTACATGATCTGGAGTTGCATTATAACTCAGACATCAAGCTATAATTGATTGAACCATAAGTTCTGTTCTGTACCATAACAGATTTAGAAAATCATAGAAATATCACACACATTTCAGCCAGGCAGCAAAAGAACGAGGCACCACCAAGTGATCCTCTGCATGAATGGCTTAAAATCATCATTTAAGAAGTTCATGTGTTTAAACTCGTCTTTGTGGCTGAACTAAAACAATTCTGCAATGAAGGGTAGGCCAAATAAATACTGCCAGCCATTACAAATCATTACTGACAAGGGTTACAAAACAATAGATCAAGGGCAGGTGCATTTTTTAATTCAAATGTGTCTGACAATTTTAAATATTTGTGTGTAACAGAAACAAACAAACAAAAAACCCTCCAAGAAATCTGAGGGCTGAGATACTTGTGTGTGTGTGTATATATATATATATATATATATATATATATATATATATATATATATATCTCACATAAAAAAAAAAAAAGAACAGTCCAGCGATTGAAGCAAAATGCTAACCTGTCCCAGTCTTAATACTGGTTTCAATTTTCATTTGTCACCCATCTGTTATCAACAGTCTGGTTTAAAAGTAGGAACATTTACGCTTGAAAGGAAATTTGATAAAAAAAAAAAGCAAAACAGTTAATTTAAATGTTTCCACAGCTATCTAGATTCAGTCTCATAATGTGACTTTTATGTGAAAGGAGTTGAAGAGAAAATCACAGTTACCTCTTACATGTAAATAACGTGCACAAGTCAGACATGTCAGGGCTATTATACCACATTTCCATGCAATTTCCAAAAAAGAAAAAAAAAAGCAACAGGTGAGTATATTTAGAAAAGTCTGAAGTACTGAAAGGTTTAAACGGCTGGAAAACAATGACTTTCATATTCTCCATTGTTAGTTTAAAAAGTGAAATTAATGTTTTTGACTGGGGGTGAGACTATGAATCTTTACATCAAAGTTTTTATATAAATATAAATACTTGCAAATCTTTTAGGAATATAAAAACATCTTAATACATTTCTAAAGGAAGAATATAAATTTTGAAACACAAACCAAAGAAACACATTTTCTAAGGGTGTGGAAATTAGTAACAAAGTTGACTCTTTTCATTAGTGCAAACCCATGCATCACAAGAGACTCCCACTGTGTGAAACATGTGACAACAGAGTGAATTAATGCTGCATTTCATTTGAACTCAGATGGGTCTGACTTCTGACTCATTAAATCAATTTCCAGTGTATCCAAATTTGGGATTTGTCTCGACTAAAGCTTCACTTAAACCCTCACCTTAATCCATCATGACTGCCTCACACATAAAAATATGATAGTTCCAGCAATAAACCATCTATTTGCACTTCTGTCAGTCATCTCATTAAATCGCTTTCATAGACTATATAGGAATCACTTGGCTAAACGTTCGAATGGAATAAGCACGTCGGTACATTAGCATGCAAGACTGCATGTTAATGGAGTCGTTAATCTGGGTAACAGCAATTACATTTTCTTTTTTTTCCCCTCCCAATTTGCAAAATGTTGGGAGTGACATCATTCCCCAGTGAAGATAAATGAAAAGCAGCACAGAAGATTTGACTAAAATAGGGCAGACAACAGGGTAAGATACGAGGAGGAGCAGACAGTTTCTAAAAGCACTAGTTACTTGTTGCAGGAATTCACCAAGTAACACTTAGAAAGACCATAAGGACAGATTCTCCGAGAGGCTAAGAAGAAAGAAGAGCCTGGCCACGTAGAAGCTTTCTGTAGAAATACGGGTTCCACACAGGAAAACAGAAGGATTGTAGGGGAGGGGGAAGTTGTAGTGTGTACCCTGTGATGGTCCAACTGCTTCAGCAGGGGAATCCATCTGCAGCTCTTCTTCAGCAGCCTTGGAAAGGACCCAGGCAGGGTCCACAAGGTCCTCAGAGCCAGGAACTACATCTGTAGCATCAGTAATTTCTGCCACAGGCTCTAGCACCGCCTCTTCTTCAGGCTCTGGCATGGACTCTGCAGGGTCGGGTTCTGAAGGAGCTGCTTCTGCCACGGGCTCCAGGGGTGCTTGAAGGTCTACAGTTAGAGTTTCAGGGACCCCATCTGACGCTTCCATTGCAAGTTTAGGAGATGGCTCTGGGGGAGCTGCTTCCACTACAGGCTCCTGAGACGCCTCCTCGGGGGCCGCTTCCACTGCAGGCTCCAGAGACGCCTCCTCGGGGGCCGCTTCCACTGCAGGCTCCAGAGACGCCTCCTCGGGGGCCGCTTCCACTGCAGGCTCCAGAGACGCCTCCTCGGGGGCCACTTCCACTACAGGGGCCGCTTCCACCAGAGGCTCCAGAGGCACCTCCTCGGGGGCCGCTTCCACTACAGGGGCCGCTTCCACCAGAGGCTCCAGAGGCACCTCCTCGGGGGCCACTTCCACTACAGGGGCCGCTTCCACCACAGACTTTAGTGACCCCTCTGCAGGAGGCGGTTCTGCCTTATTTGGCCCAGCTTCATGAACTAGGTTCAGGGCCCCATCTACCAGTGCAACGTCCACAAGTGGATCAGGAGCCGATTCGACAGAGGCAGGATGCATAGGGACTTGTGGCACATCAACTGCAGGCTCAGCAGCCACTTTGGAGGCCTCCAGCATTAGAGCATCTTCTCCTGGAAAGGCTTCAGGAACAACTTCAACAGTAGATTCATCAGTTGCTATGTTGGAGGGTACTTCTTTAACAAAGGATGCCGTCACCGCTTGAGTCGTTCCGTCATAAGTGGATGCAATAGTTCCAGCTGAAGCGACAGGGGGCGTGTGCTTTGTTGCTGCAGAAGCGATGGCTTCCAGTGCAGCTTCAGTTACTGCAGAGGCAGCTGGAGAAACTTCTTTCTTAGGGAAGTTGCATGGCTTGTGTTGAACAAGTTTTTCTATGTCGAAGTACGTTTTAGGCTTGCTTTTGTCTAGAATGAGGGACGTTGAGCAAACAAAATGCATTATTTATATGTTCAATCAGAAATTGATTGGTTATCAAAACGTCTAAAACAAGTATGGATTGTTAAAAATATTATACTAGCATACGGGAAAGAGAAAGGTTAAAAGAAAACATAGCCCTCAGTCTTTTAGGATGTATGAATGAATCTGTGCACTGGTCAACATAGTAAACAATTTTGAAGACAAAAAGAAAAATGTTTAGTGGAAACCACACAGACAGATCATGGAAAAGCAAATAAGATGAACTGTGGCACAATGATCACTGACATAATACTACTACTAATAACACATAATTATTATAATAAGAATTATTATTCTCTTAAAAACAATTATGTCTGGAGAAAACTTTCAAAGTCTTTACCAGGATTAAGACATTTCTTCAAGCTGGTACCACAACCTGCTGAATTGGAGGCATCACAAACAGCCGATCCCTCAGTAAACACCAGTTCTGAATTCATTGCTCAGTTCCTGCGTCCATCAGTGCCAGAACCATGTCAGAACCATCTGACCAAACAACACAGACCCGACTGGACAGGAATCAGACAGGTGAATCCCTGAAAAGCCCGCCAAGGAGTTCTGCTAGGTCAAAATGAACCTGTAGACTCACTGGACTGGAAACAGCCAGCAAACCCTCCATATGGAAATTGTGCAGTTGTCCTCACAGGTAGCTAATCTAACCTCAATGCTTACCTCCGTTCCAGGGTCGTCAAAATCTTCGGCTGCTTCACCATCCGCCTCCTCACCGGCCGAACCTCCTGCTGTGAGCTGTCAAAATGCCGGGGTTTTCGGTTACAATGGAGGATGGTGTTCAGCAAGCTACCTATGGCTTTTGCTTCCGATGTATCCAAGATGTATTATGTCAAGGAACTGCTGAGGGATCAGGCTTTAGCCTGGGCGCTAGCGTTTGATTCTGCTACACCTTTAACTTCCCTTACCTTTAGTCAGTTCTCTTCAGAATTAAAAATGGTGTTCGATCACCCGGATCATGTTGGGAACGCCTCTCCGCTTTAAAGTCATTCCTTCCTCCAGTTTCTCCATGGTGTTAGGACATCCCAGGCTGAGACTTCATAATCCCCAGACTGATTGGGTCACAGGAAGGATAGTTGGCTAGAGTCTGTCCTGTTCAAGTAACTGCCTTCATGCTGCCCAGTCCAATTGTGGGAATGTTTGAGAGAGTCCTGATCTGTCATTGGTTCCCCCTGAATACCACAACTTGGCCGACGTTTTCAGCAAGAACCGATTGTTCAGCCTGTGTAAGCAGGAACATGAGGCCATGGAGACCTACATTAATGACTCTGTGGCAGCTGATTTTATCCGCTGCTCGTCGTCCCCACTAGATGCCAGTTTCTTTTGTTGGAAAGAAAGGCACATTACGCCCATGCGTTGACTACAGGGGGTTAAACAAGATCCCTATAAGGAATAAATACCTGCTACCACTGATGTCCATGGCATTTGAACTTCTGCACGGGGCAACCATCTTCTCCAAGTTGGATTTACAAAATCCCTATCATCTAGTCAGGATATATGAGGGAGATGAATGGATGACGACCTTTAAGACACTTATAGGCCATTTTGAGTACTTTGTGATGCCTTTCATCCCAACTAATGCCCCTGTTGAGGGATTTCCTAAATCATTTTGAGTTCTTGATGACACACTCATCTTCTCACAGACCAAGGAGGAGCATGTCGGCCATGTTCTCCAGAGGCTGCTGGAGAACAGCTGTTAAGGCTGAGAAATGCAGCTTCCATCTCTCCGCAGTCAACTTCCTGGGGTTTGTCGATGAGGATGGACAGATCAGAGCCCATCCTGACAAGACCAAAGCAGTGGTGGAATGACCCAGCGTTTTCTGGGTTTTGCTAACTTTGATCGTAAGTTTATTAAGAGCTACAGCCCAGCCACTACCTCGACTCGCTTCAATCAAGCAGCCCTTCACATGGCCAACCGGAGCCAGCAGTGGCCTTCAAAGAACTTAAACAACTGTTTTCTTCCCCACCAGTCCTCATTCAGCCAGATCCCTGCAACCAATTTGTTGGGGAGGTGGATGCATCAGTCACTGGAATAGAGGCAGTTCTGTCCCAGCCTTCTGGCTCTGCACACAAGAAATATACGTTATTTCTATATACACCTCTAGAGGCGGTAGCACCAGGCTACTACCTGACCCAGGACCATCATTTCATGTGCCAGACTCTCTCTGAGGCAAATTGGCTATTGAATGAGTACAACAATGCCACCAAAACAAGTTGAACCTAGCTACCAAAGAGGTAGATGACATTTTTAAAAAAATCTATTGACATATTGACAAAAGACAATACTGAACTTGGTGGAAGAGGTTAAAATATTGAGGTTACAGAACACAGAAAAAGATTGTGTCACTGGAAAACCGTGTTGCTTAGCTGGAGCAATATATCAGACTGAATGACATCAGAATAACCGGATTAAAAATCAGACCACATTCTTATGCTCTGGCTGTGACAATAACGGATAAAGAGGAACCAAATAAGCAAGATGCTGAATCTGTTGAGCAACAACAGCTTTCCTTAACTCAAAAGGAATTACACTGGATTGACACCAAACTGAAGCCTGCCAACCGCTGCCACAAAGAAACAAGATGGACAAACCAGCCATAATAATCCGATTTGTAAGTGGAAACACAAGCTTGAACTGTTGAAAAGAGGTCAAAAGTTGAAAGGTAGAGACGTGTACTTGAATGAACATTTGACAAAAAGAAATGTACATATCACCAGAGAAGCTCGACAGACAGGCAGGATCAAAAACCAGAAACTCCTTGAACATGAAACGGGGCTTGAAAGCTGACGGAGGCATCAGGCGATCTCGCCCTGAGTAGGTGATGAGCAGCTGTTTAAACAGGGAGCAACACAGTACAGGTGAGGATGATGAGGAATTAGAAGGACGGAGAGTAAACGGAGCTGAAATGATGACGTCTGTGTTTCAGTGCGTGGGGTGAAGCTGTGGAATGAGATAAGCATGGAAATCAAGCAATGTCCAAACATCCAACAGTTTAAAGACATAATTTAAGAAAATGGTCATCAATATGAGAAATAACTTCTGTCGTTACTATTTAATGTTGTCCAGGGGTGAAGGTAGTTTTAAATTCTTGGGGGTACTATGACAATAAATACCGTACCCCCTTACTTTCACCCCTGATGTTGTCAAATATTACTGTATTATAGTATATTCATTTAGAAATATTTTTTTTAACATGTTAGCATATGCTTGCTTATATTTGCATGCAGTTATGAATGCACTGTCCTAGTTATAGAAAATCATAAGAAAAACTATTAATATCAAGTTAAGAGTAAGAGGGGTGAGTGTAAAAATAAGTTTGTACTTCTACCCATTCCTTTGAATGTGTAAATATACTTTACTACCGTTCTTTTGTTTTAAATTGATTTGGTTTGTATATGACTTTGCTTATTCTTTTGTTACAGTACATTCAGAACATTGACATGCTGAGGAGGTCGTTTCTGCCACCAGGGAGAGAACCAAAATATGCAGGGTGCCGACACTCGAGGACCCACTTTGGGGACCACTGCAGGAGCTTGTACCATATTACCGTGTAAATGTGTGTGATGATTCACACACCTTTACACAGTAAATGAAAGTTTACTTTCATTTATTTATTTTTTACCATCATTCAACTTGCAGTTTTCTTTCAAAAGTTATTGTCTGCACAATGCACTGGATGATACAGCTTCCACCTTCTCAACGACGACACCCAACATTAACTCCAAGCCTCCAGAAGTGGAGCATCCTCCTCGTTTGAATGCATGAAACAAAGGAAAACATCACTCAGCGCTTGAAGCTGTTCTTCTCCGAGTTTGTCTTTCCATTAGTCGAATGGACTGGGTCTCTGGTCCCGTTTTCATCATCAACTGCTTGAACGACTTTCTGAGGCTCGCTACTATTTACATGCCTGTCAAAAGCTGATTGACTGAAGTATTTAGTATCCAGAAAATGAGGATGTTGATTGATCGCTTCCTGACAAACCCACTGGATTGGATTGATTGACAGGTGGCGTCATGTCAACAGTTTCAGAAACTCCTGAGAACTCATGTAGGTTATTAGGGGAAAAAAATCTTTAGAAATGCAAACAGTACACAAAACGGTAAATTTAGCACCATTTCTTCCACTGAATGTGTAAAAAATAAAATAAATTAAAGACAAGGGTTGTCTTTACATTTGCAGTAAATGGAAATGAAAGTGGCATTTATAATACTGACAATAGAACTATGGATAAAATATTGCCTTTAAAATTGCAGTGGGTAATTTTTATTAATCTGTATTTACGCATTTAAAACCGTCGTCATTTCCTGACAGTACAATGAGACATCATCTGTAAAGAAAAAATAAATAAACAAAGCTCCTCTGCCACGTCCTAGTGCCATCTCCAGAAATACCCAGAACAGGTCAGAAATGACCCATCAGAGCCAATTACTTTAATAATCCTCATCTTTTATGGGAAACAGTTTAAACACAGGTCGTTTCAGGGCTTGCAATGACCTGGTAACCTTCAATAAACATGGAGATAAAGACAATAGAAGGTGAAAAGTTATTTGCATGTACCAGGATAACAAAAGTATGCAGTCATTTGGTAAACAGCACCAACTGTGATCGTTAAACTCTGAAGGTTTGCCCAAAAACTCCCTGAGCTGTTTAACCCCATTTTCTGTGGGGTCACCAGGTTCAAGGTTTCCAAAATAACCTTTAACCTGATCAAACTGCAAAGACCTTGGGTTTCAGTTCACCCCTCTTTATTATGTATTTTTATCTGCCCCAATTGTAGGATTTCTGTACCATTCAATGAAAAATGATTAGATCAATGATTTTTGTGCCACAGTTCAAATTTCATTTCCAAGATTAGAAAAGTAAAACATAACCCAACTTGTTTTCTGAAACTTACCTTTGCTGGTCTTTTTTGATGAATTTTTGGATCCTGATGATTTTGTGCTGAAAGGCAAAGCTGCCGGTGCTCTGCTCAGCATCTTCCACCCCTCAGTCTGCAAGCACTGGCAGCACAATACGAAAACAAGAGGAATGGTCACAACACTTCAGGAATGCTTTCATACACACTTCCACTTGTTTAAATCAAAGCAACATTAGTTTTGTTTTAGGACAGCTCAGTTAGAGATGTCCTTTGTTTTTTTACAACTTATGCTGCTTATGATGCTCTGCTGTTGTTTTTATTTAAATAAAAAAAATTAATAAAAATGTATCATGTTAAATACAATTAATAGAAATGGGCAGAAAATTGATTTAATGAAGGAGAAAATGATTTTTGTTTCTACCAAAGCAACTCAAGTCTGTTTTTCTTTTCTTATGCGTCTAAATTACAAATAGCTTTGAAATATTAATGGACACAACACTTGTGGTGGAAGGCATTTCATGCTGATTTTATACAGTGTTGTATTTCATGAAAATATACAACCATTTTTTTTCAGTCATGTATACCGTGGTTGTATTTTGCAATGTTTAAACAAATATTAATACAGATGATTATATTTCTTTGAAATTACACTCATAAAAACTGTGTTGGGAATTAAATAGCTTGTTCTTAGAAAAATATGAACAGACCAAATCGTTGTTTTGCAAGTCACAGCTAAGTTTCAAGTCTTTATCCTCAAGTCCTGAATCAAGTCCCAAATCTGACACTTGAAATTTGAAGTCCTTCAGTCTTTTCAACAATATTGCAATTATATGTTCAATGTAAACGCATAATGTATTCTTTTTAAATCTGCATTTGTCTCAAATTTTGTGATGTAGGAATTGGATTTGAAAAATATATTTTAAAAAAAAGTAATTCTGNAATTACACCTCTATTTTGTACAGTTCAATTAAACTTAGCTATTTTTTTTATTACAAACCTCACCAGTACAAGCAAGTTATATAAACTATATGATTTATTTTTAACTCTATGAAAACCGATTTACTGATAAGTTTACCATACACATATGTAGTAATTTAACATAAAGCATGGGTACACAACCCTAACATTCTTGTAATCATTTCCACCTCTGGATGGAAATGTAACATTTTTTTTTGTGCAAAACAGTGTTGACAAAAAAGAAAGACATTTCAATTGGTCTCTGAATTCATGTAACCATAAACCATAAACAAACTACATTATTTTCTGACATGATCGGAGTATGTGTTTACGAAGCAAAGCACACTTGATTGACATGCACAGGCACACAGAAAGACAGACATTGGTTTGTAGTTTTGGAATGTAACCACATCAGCAACTTGTAAATCCCGAGTGTTATGTAAAAGTCCTGTTTTTTCAGCAGCCACAGAGGCTGCAGCGTGAAATTTTAAAAGTCAGGAGGAAGAATTACCTTATTGACACATCGCAGGTGTCCGATCCTTAACAGGGAGGCCGACATGTTTTTAACAACCTGCACTAAAAAACAAACATCAACATCTATTTAAAAAAATATATATGGTGACACGATAACAAATGAATCTTCATGCCATTACCAAACCTGCACTTTATCTACAATTAAACTGGTTAGAAGAGGAATAAGTAAAATGCAGTGTTTTTATCTTTACCTTCAGGAGAAAAGCGAGGAACGCGAACAGTTTGTTCCACTAATCAACGCGCTTGGTCGGCGCTCCTTTATGTAACAAAACGTGCCACGCCCCCTAAAATCCTCACGCTGCTGCAGAAGAGACAGGAGCATCCGCAGCCAACCAGAAAACTGTCCACAGAAAACGCTGCAGACTGCGCCCCCTGCAGGCCACTCCTCCCTGCTTCACTATGCAGCCACAAGAGGGCGCTTTGTGAGTGAAGGGGCGGGGATTTGTGTGTTTTTGACAGGCCCAAAGCGGACGTGACATCGCAAAGGACCGTGACGTACTTCCTGTGGAGTTCATCTCCGCATTCTCCACGTGGAAAACAAGAACTAAGCGCGTTCGGTGCGGTACCGGGAGCTATGGCTTGTTTGGGTTTCTGTGGGGAGTGGTTTCTGTCGACCTGCAGCAGCAAACTCATAGCGGTCCATACCAAAGAGCCCAGGTTGGAACTGATTTAATTATTTTTGACTTTTGGCTCTATTAGCTTTTTCTGTCTCCCAGTTGTTTTTGTCGGGCAGCCCCAGGATTCTTAGAAAATTCAAGTAGGTTTGGTATTTTAGGTGAAAGCAGCGTTCATCATGAACAAAGCTTTATAATACACACATTCATAGAAGTGGACTCAATATCACCCTCACTAAATGTGTGGGCTGTAATTATGTTTCCATATTGACCTCCAGCATAATAACACATGCTGGTGAAAGAAGGAAAGCAGTTTTTTAATGTTGAGGTCACATCAATGGCCACAATCCTAATTGTTAGAGAATATCATGGATTTTGTCTTGGTCAAATTTAGTATTCCTCATATTCATATCAGCCCAGTTTTTAATTTTAATGAATTCTGAGGTAATATTATCCTAAAGTTATTGTAGAGTCTCTCCAGAAGCTAAAATATTTGTATCATCAACAAATAAAATAAATCTTAGAACTGATGATGTCATTAATGTATAATTTTGGTTCCGATTCTTGAGGAACGTCACACACAATATCCAAAGATTCAGACTGACGTTCCCCCATCTTCACAAATTGTTTCCTGTTTTTTGAGTAACATTTCACTCAATTTAGTGCAGTTCATTTGATCCCAAACTGTTCCAATTTACTGATTAAAATGTCATGATTTATAGTATCAAATGCTTTTTTTTAGATCTCTTTTCATAATAAAGTTAGTAATATCCTCAATAAGTTCAATTAGTGCATGTGACACTGATTGTTTTCTTCGGAAGCCATATTGACTATTCACAAGTAGTTGATTTTTATTTTATTTTATTTTTTAAATAAAATAGTCTAGTGCTGTTGAATATCTTTTCCAGGATTTTGGAAAATTGTGTAAGAAGATAAACGGGACGGTAATTTGCTAAGTGCTGTAAGATGTTGATTTATAAGTTTTTCCCTACGCTTCTGCACAAAAATGCAAATATGTCTGGATCATTGAACAATGCAAGACTACCACTACCAGACTACTATTCAGATAATATTTTGCTTTGGCCGATTTTGAAATACGTCTTGATACTTTATTACAGACGCATTTAATGTAACGTATTCAGCTAATTTTACCATCTATTACTTTCCCTCAAAATTTTGTTTTATGCACTCTTCCTATGCTAAATTATGAAAATAAATTCCATAAATGTTACAATATTTTCTCACATGGGTGGCATCAGAATCAAAGGGCAGTGAATGAAATGGGTCGTCTCAAACTCTAACAGTTCCCAGAGTTGACTAGCTGGTTTTTACCCAACTGTGGAGATACTGATCACGCTCCCCCCCAGACCTTAATGTTTTGTGACAATCCCAAATTAAGTCACAAACTGACATCAGCATGAACTAAGCAATATTCTTCATAGAAAATGTGGCAAGTGAAACAGTAACTTAAGGCACGTTGTGGTTCTTGTCTTTCAGGATCAGTCAAAAGTAAACTTTGTTTCTAAAGCACTGACATATGAATCTTCTAAGAAAACATAGAAGTTTGGCAGGAATCTGGAGGAGCTTAAATGTCCTTAACGAGAGCATTAGACTATATATGAGCACCAAGTTGGTGGCGTGCAGCTGTGAACTTCTTGATCCAGACGCTGTGAAGCGTGTCTGGCCCTGGGGCTTTCCACTTCTGGGTGCCCTTGATGAAGGCTCCGACTTCTTCTGCTGAAATATTCATCAGTTTTATAGACTTGTTGCAACCGGGATTGTAGGAAATGTAGTTTCTGGTAAGCGGCCACAGCAGCCCACAGTGTTCAGTCTATATCATTCGTGAGTCTCCGCTCCACCGCAAACTTTACCAAAGTAGTGAAATACCCACATTACATCTTTGTACCCTTCCTTAGTCCAGTTATGTTTGGGGACTGCCAGGTGAGCTGGGAGGGTTTGACTGTTGACCTGATGATAAACAGCTTCCTTTCAACAGGGAGGTTTGATTTAAGTTATCACACCAACAATCTATGTCTAAAATATTTATTTATTTCTACCTGAAGTTTTCCAATGTGGATAGAAGAAATCATGGAGTTGGTACTGAACTGCACTGTTTTCTGCTGCCTGTTCTTTTAAGTGACCATCATTTCATGTGTCACCATGACAGCAATACTTCACATGTGATGCATTAACGTTTCTGTGTGTTAGAGAGCCGTTTGTGTTTGACTGCAGCCGTGCTGAAAAGAGGATAAAAACGGCAAAGGATGTAAATGGCAGGTAAAGGCGGCGCACTGGATAACCATTCGTCCTAATATCACCGGTGGTCATGGCCTCGTCTTTTCTGTCTCTAGTGATGCGTCAGAGGAGACCGGAAGTGACACGGTCCTTGCTTTTGCAGTGTCTTCATCTGGCAAATTGGTGGCAATCACTGATGACACCAAGCGACTGATCCTGTTTCAGTGTGAGCCTTCATGGCTCTGCATTAGCATCAGGTAAACTTTAGGTGTTTCTGTGTTGGTTGGGTCTGCGGACAGCCGGGATCTTCTCCTCTGTAAGCAGCTTTCACTGCTCATTTGTCCAGCTGTATTCCAGCCATTTCACAGAAGATCTAGAATGAATTTGCTACAACAAGATTCAAGTTCCCTTTTGATCAATCAAGTATTTTTTAAATGTGAATGTGTTCGACTCGCCCACAGGTGGGTGGCTAGGAGGTGCACATCACTAGCATTCAGCCAGGCTGAAGATGAGCTGCTGGTGGCTGACAAGTCTGGAGACGTTTACTCCTTTTCTGTGGTTGAGCCAGAGAAGGACGGCGAGCTGAAGATGGGGCACCTTTCAATGTTACTCGCTGTGGTAAGGATCGAGTATTATGGATGACGAGGGATTAAGATAATAAGCGTTTAACTTTCAACCAGCCTCTAAATATGTCCACCTGTCTCTCATCTTGTATGAACAGTTGTTTTAATTAGCTTGTTTTTTGGTGGCGACAAAAAGAAATTAGGAAGCTTATCATGACAAATTTTTAATGCTGACTTATTTCTACTTCTACAATAATTGTACAATATGGGATTATTTGTTTTTGAACCACGGCTACTGATTTCATATCTTTAAAATAAACTGTATGGAATCATGCAATTACAGATTGATAGAGCAGTATAGTTTATATTTTTTGTTTCATTTAATTTTTTTTTTAACAAAGCACAGATTAATTTTTGATGTACCTAGAGCTAGGTATTACAGAACCAATGCTGTGAAACAAAGTAACAAAACTTGGTTCTCTCTTTGTTATTTGTATGAATATTATAAATAGATCAGAATGAAAGTGAACTGAGTTATGAGTGGAGTTTCATAAACATCGCCATTAAATAGATTTTATTTTTAATAGATAAGTTTGGATGGGTTGAACATGGACTAACTGCTCCACTCTCCGTCTTTCAGACCATATCTGCAGACGACCAGTACATCATTACAGCCGACCGTGACGAGAAGATCAGAGTGAGCCGTCGCAGGTCCCCGTACGACATCCAGTCTTACTGCTTAGGGCATCACCAGTGAGTACACCTACATTAAACACAAGCAGAACTGGCTGTACTTACTACGATAACTAACGAATCTATTTGACTGTAATTTCATATAAGATTTACAGTTGTGTTTTATTGTTATTATTACTTTTTTTTATTTAGAAAGACAGATTTCCATCACATTCATTAATTGCAGCTTTACCCATTTGAGGTCATGTATGAGGATAGAAGCGGAGAGTCCAATGATTTTATCCATGCTGCCTTTCTGGTATTTTCTTTTACAGATTGTTACTAATTTCAGTTGTGAATGATGACAAAATTGAACAAAAATGAGGATTGCACCACAAGAGCATAAAAAGGCAGGACCCATAATTCACAGCCAAATGAAGACGGATCTAATTGGTTTTACACACTCAGTCCATTTGGTCCAGGTCTTATAAAATGTTCTTTATTGGTCCATGTGTCCAGCTGTAGGCGGCCCGACGTTTCGCGTTTGAATGGGATGTTTACATTGAATATATTTTCAGTATGTTTGTGGAGCTCTTCCCACTGTGGTCTTATTACCTGGCATTCCCAATAAAACATGGCGGTGGTTGGCTCCCTTGGACCCACAGAGTCTCCAGTCCCCGTTGCTTTAATATCGTCTCTGAATGGGTGCAGCAACAAACCATGTGATGTTTTTCCAGCAAAACTCCCACCATGTGTTTGATCCAGTTTGATCCACTGCAGCTGACATATTTCCTCCCAGCCTTCTTGTGAGATTCTTACCTTCATTTCCTTTTCCCATTTCCTCTTTATGTGTCTGTATCCTCATGTTTAGATAGCTGTTATGATAATTCTGCTGTCTGATCTGGGCTTAAATAGTGATAGAAAACTTGAATCACTTTTTCTCAGCACCTCTTTAACATTTCCATTAAAATAATGTCTCACCTGCAGGTACCTAAAAAAAATAATCTTTTTCCAGTCCATGATCCCTCTCTAAGGTTTCAAAACTCCAAACTATCCCTTTGTGAGCGAATGAATAATAGGTGGTTAATCCTTTTGAGATCCATAACTTGAATCTGTTATCAATTCTATTTGGTGCAAAATCCGAATCATAGCCACACCACCTCATAATTTGAGATGCATCTCCGATTCTGCAAATATTGACCAATTCCTGCCAGGACTTGAGGAAGCTACCAGTTATGGAGTCTTCTGCTGTTCTTCCTGTAGCTTATAATCACTAAGCTGGGCTGTTACTGGGATTCCTCTTATCGTCGTTCCTCTATTTCCTTCCATGCTGCAGTGAATGAACTCAGGCAGACTTAACTCTGTAAATCAGATTAAATTTGACATGTTTGCTCTTTGGTGGTGTGTAGAAGTGCTGCGTTAATAAAACAACGCAGTAAATGTTAAAGGCTTGCATGTTATATACTTCTCTTTAGTTATGCCTTATTTGTCTTATTGTTCAGAAATCTGGGGAAATGCAAGTAAAACAAAAGCTACCAGGCTTATTAATAAGGTGAGACCCTGTGAATCAACTCATAAACTCTTCATTCAAAGTAAAGCATTAAAATGTATAGATATTGTTCATATAAAAATACTGGAAATAATGTATAAAGCACTGAGCAAAGGTCTTCCTTCTGGTATTCAGAAATTATTTAAATTGAGAGAGAATAAATATAATTTGTGAGGTTTGTTTATATCTGAATGTGTAAAAGAGACGAGCCAGGTAAAGTCTAGATGTGTTTCAGTTATTGGTGTGAAACTGTGGAATGAATTGAAGGATGATTTATGTTATGTCCTTTCTTGGTGAGCTTTAAAAGAGCTCTGAAATGATAACATCTTACGCTGTTATGTAGATTTATATATGCATGGTGGAGATATCTTGGTAGGTTGTTGGGTATAAAATAGGCAAGAAAAAACTTGGCTTCAGCCTGTTCCTTTTTTGGTAAATTGTGGGTTTGTTTACTGTTGTTTTTTTTGTTCTTTCCGGTGTTTAATGTGGACAATTTACCAAAATAAAGTGATTGATTGATTGATTGATAAAGTTGTACCGTTCTTTCTATCAGGTTTGTCAGTACGCTAGAGATCCCAACAAGTCATCCGCACTGGCTGCTGTCCGGATCAGGGGTATGCATGCGTGTGTGTTTCCCTTTGTTTAGCTAATCTCTTGTTTGCAACACTCGTACTAGATTTGGTTTCATAGACATGCACTTTCAAATGAGAGTTGTAGGAGTTATAAAACTTTGGGGTGTAAAATGCATCCGTCACTTGTTTTGCATAGTTTGATTTGTATTTTTTAAACCTGTAAAAACCGGAGACCATGGATTTAATGCTGATTTTATCATAAAGAGCTGTAATAATGAGCCTGTCAAATCTTATGTTTGTCAGGATGGAACAGTGAAGCTGTGGGAGTTTGAATCTGGTCGCAAACTGCAAAGCTGGGACCTTGGGCAGCTTGAAGACGATCTGTGCTCTGATGCTGCCAAAGGAAATGTGAGAAGATCAAATGTTGTCTGCAAAAAAAAAAACTTTTTAAGGCAAATACAATAGATTATAACTTAATATTTTTTAAGATACAAAGTATAGTTTAATTTTATTTGCTAAATAATAGTTCAGTAATTGTCTAATATTTTAAATCTCTGCTTTCTGTCTTCTAGTTTGTTTGTAAAACATGTTTTTAATCGTATATAATTTTCTTTCTGCTTCATAATTGTCGTACCACTTTGTGTTGGTCTTTCACTTTAAATTCCACTTTTATCTAGGGCTCATATCGATATATTTTTGATATATCTTGATGCACGTATATATTGTAATATTCTTAAATGAACTCCAGTGTTACTTTAAACAATGGACCCCTTGCAGCATGATGTCACCCACCCAATTTCCCTGCTAGACTTGAATTGTCTAAACTATGACTGGATGATAAACCCAGAAAAAAGTTTTAATTAAGAAAAAAAAATAGGGAATGAGTCAGTTGCTTACTTGATTTTGACAAACTTGACACACACATGTGCTGTGGAATAAGGTGTGTTTTGGTTCAGCGACTCACACACACACTGACAGATCATCTCAGTAAATTAGCGAATCAGCCACCGCCGGATTAGCTTGGCTAATAACAGCAGCAGTGGCTAATCTACCACAGCTAAAATACACATCAAGCCCAAAAACATGAAACTGTAACAAACCGAATGTTCTGCTCTGTGTGGAGGCAATGTGTTTAAAATGGCGTTGCCAGTTGCTATGGCAACGAGTCTGCGTGTAACAAATAGAGAGCGAGAAAAAAGAATGAGTGAGTCCTGAAGACCGTCGGGTCCCTCATCCTGCTTCTCCTTCTACATGATGTAATGCTAAAACCACGTCCACTGAGCCGCCAATGCTGCTTGCAGCTTTAATTTCTATTGATATTAATGTCATTATTGTTTTGCATAGCCGTATGAGAGTGGCCATAAAATGACAAATAAATAACAGCATGCATACATTGCCCTTTTAAAGTTTCAGAAATATCTGCTTTTAATGAAATATTTGCTGTTTCTTTCCCTGTCGCTATGCTATCAGTTAAATCTCTAAATCTGCCTTTACTTTCCAGAACGCAGCCGTGTTTCGTATCTGCAGTTCCCCCGGCGGCCGTGATGTCGCCGTGTTGTGTGACGGGTGAGTGCAGAGTGTGTCTTTCTGTCTTCACAGGGACTTTGACTTTAACTCATATTTAATTCATTTCCTCAGGCTGACCCTTACACTTAACCTAACCGTTAACATGCCTGAGTGCTGTCTGTCTCTGTCAGTTCCTACTCGGCCACGCTGCAGGCGCAGTGGTGCACACATAAGCTTAGGATGGACAAGCCTGTCCAGTCCACCATATTATGCTGGAATACATTTCACAAATAATTACTTAATGCTATGAATTCTAATCATGATCTACAAATAATAATAAAAGTTCATAAAGGCGCCTTATGAGAAACGTGAAGCGGTTCTGGAGTATTTTATTTTCAACCATATTTTGATGGCGAATGTAATAATCTCCAAAGTAAGGTTCAACATGCCTTTACTCTTTCTTCTCATAAAGAACTGTCGCATGTTGAATGTAAATTCAGTTTGCAGCTGATAATACTGTGTCCAAAATGGAAACTTCTGTTTCCTTGTAGATTTACAGTTAAAGTTATGGATCTTGTTGTGGTGTTAAGAAACCAAGTGTCTCTTTCTTATTGCCCAAAATCAATAATAAAAGTGTGCGAATAGCAAAACAAGGCCTGGTAAATTAACGAGCTCAGATTTACGCTGTAAACCAGCTGAATTCAAAATGTACCATTTGCCATGTTTGTCACTGTTCAGTTGTGCCCAAAATGACATTATTTTTGTTACGTTGTGTGAACTCTACATTCCTTCACAATCTTGTACACCAGAAGCTGAAAAAGTTTTTTTTTATCAGCACAAAGCCAATTCCCAGGATACAGACGAGAAGTTCTGTATGTTGCATAAAGTGTCTCACCAGGGAGACAAGCTAAGGACCCCTACCACACTGTTCCTCTAGCACCGTTAGGACTGTGGTCTGGACGCTGCTTGCATCCTTTTATTCGACCCACTGGTGGAGATTTTAAGCTTGTAATCCTGTGGTTGGGGTTGTATGAAAGTGGACAGGGCTTTCAAAGCAGAAGCCTCAGGGCTGACCTGCAGCTTCAATCAGTTTGTTTAGAACATGTTTGCAGAGACCAATGACAGAGTTTAGGCCATGTAGTGTTTCTTGCAAAAGCACATTTTGCCCAATTAGTAAGAGTCTTTTATGCTTTTGACTTTTTGTACGTGTTCTCAGGCTGATGAACGTTTACATGTTCACCTTGGAGCGAACCAGTGACGAGAAGCTGAGGTTTCACAGTAAACTCCACTTTCTCCACCGTCCCATGGACATAGGCTTTGACACGAAAGGACGGCTTTGGGTGCTGCTGGACTCCAGCGACGTCCCGCTCCAAATCCACACATTCAGGAAAAACTCCTGGGAGGTATGGTTGAACTCTGCCCTACACACATCTAGATACAAATTAATGTTTTTATTTTTAACATCTATTCTTCTGATTATTTACTTTTATTTAATTGTTATAAAGCAGTAAATTATGGAGTGAGGTTATAAACCAGTCAGAGGATTGGTATTTATTGTTTTGGTATTTATTTCTTGTTTTGTCCAGTCAGAGTTGTTGCATCGTTGGGAAACGTATGAATTGATGCTTTACCTTGAGTGGTGTTTGATTCATTTTCTTTTTGAAAGAAAAAAAGGCAAGTTGAAATCCGTGCATTTAAACTTGAGTGACTAATAGCGGTGCTGGTCAGTCATTTTTCTTGACTCCACTGAGTAAAAGGCTCATACTATTTGAAAACAACAGTTGATCCAGATTTTGCTAGCTCTGGGTGTTACCACTTTCATTATTCTTCTTATTGGGCCACTTTGACTAAATTAATACTATGCCTGTTCAAATTGAATGCAGTTTTTTTTCTGTTCAAATTGCTCCAGTTTACTCACCACTTCATGCTTTTACCCGCATTGGCCTATGCGGGTGCTAATTTCCACCCCTGAGTACAGTTGCTGTACTGTGTGTATACCTCTGAATTTAACTAAGCTAAAAAAATATTTTCTATTTCTCCTGTTTAGAAAAATATAAATGTTGGTAATGCCATCTATTTCAAAACAGGCAGCTTACAAATGTGTTCTTCTTCTAGTGCGACACTGAGAACGACGACCTCAGAAGAGTAACCGAGATCCTCAGAACGCAGTGGAGCACGACTGACAGTAAGTCCACTGTCCTTAAGTCTAGATGTCATGAAACAAAAGTGAGGATTAGAAGAAGAAACAAATGTTGAAACAAACATACAGAGTCTGTCAAATCTGCTTTTAGTGATTCTGGCTGTTTGGTTCTGGTCATAGCTCTGTATGTGTGAAATTGTGGATTGCTATAAACCAAGGATGTTGTAGAGATCAGCGCAGATGGTTTTGTCATTTGCCTTTGCTAAGACAAGAGAATAGTTTGTTTGGTGTTAAAGCGGACAGTTTTGATTCCAATAAGTTCTTGTTTGGGGAAGTAAAACAAAAGCCCTTTTTGCACTGCAGGGCCAGGCAGACCTGGAGTCAAACCTGGTGTCTGATTTTACAACTTCGATTAGAACAAAACCTCTGTTTTGTCTCTCACACACTACTAAAGACTCACTTTGTCATATTTTAATAACAAAATATTGAAATTGCACACATGTACTATTAAAATGTCACACACACATGCAATTTTTGACTCATCATTCAGAATAGTATATCTGTATGCTTTGTGTGTATGTGTGTGATATTTTATTACTGTATATGTGCAATTTTAGTATTTTGTGTGTGTGTGTGTGTGTGAGTCAAAACATAGTTTTTGTTCTGTCAGAGCTGCAGTTTGGTGGAGACGGTGTGAAACACCTGAACTAAATGATATTAGCTTGAGATGTGAATTTTATTTTTCCTTCTGATTAAAAGAAAAAAAGTTCAGGTGTGGATATTTGTTTACATCTTTTTACTGCGTTACCTACATCTAAAAGGTTGCACATTTAAAAAAAAAAATGAAGTGCCAGAATGTGATTATATTTATGTGTATAGCGAAACAATCAGCAGTCTTTGTCATTATGTTTGGGCTAGCAATTAATTTCTACAAATATCTGGGTTTATTTGAGTCCATCAGAACCTGGAGGTTCTCCATTGCTCACGTCCCACCAACAACAGTGAGGAATCATGGAAAAGCTCATTACTGCACATTAACTGGTTAGAGAGCCACTTGCTACTGGAAAAGCAGCTCTAGTTTGTTTGCAAAGCCTGGTCCTTAAGGCTCACTGCCTCAGTGTTTCCCTGCTCCAACACACCTGTTTCAGGTGATTGCAGCTCAGCAAAAGCTCATTAATCAGCCATCAATTGAAATTATGTGTTCTGAAGCAGGAAAATACATAAAATATGCAGTGCAGGTTGCCTTGAGGAGCAGGTTTTGAAAACAACTCAAAAAGCCAAGCTTGCATGAATCATAATCAGACTTTTCAAGTCGTTTTGTGGAAATAGCTGCAGTGACCCTGGGGTTTAGTTTATCCTGTAAAATTGCATTTCACCGACACCTGCTCTATTTTTCATGACAGATTTCACAAGTGTCACAAACCACTTTGAGCACCTGTATAAAGTGAGCTTTGACAACGTGTCAGTGTATCTGCAGAAAAAGCAGCAGCGGATTGAAGAGCATCAGCTGAAGAGGACAAAAGCTCAGAAACCAAAATGCAACAAGAAGTCAAAGAAGGAACCTGATGAAGTTTTGACTCGGCCTTCTACTTAAGTGAAGAGTAAAGAGAAACATTCTGGTTTTGTACTTGAATATGTGCGCAGTGCCAGTTTTATTTGGTGGTTTATTTTTACTATTTAAGATGAAACAAAGTTAAACCTTTTTTTCTGTTTGGCATCGTCACCAAATGAAACCTGTTTGCCAGTGTGAGCCACATACATTCTGTTGAATCATTATTGTATGTTTGGTGCATTTAATTACATGTAATTTCACTCTGGGAATAATAAGGCATATTTTATTTTTAAAAAATTCCTATGTAAAACCTCAATTCTATAATGACTCTAAAAATTAAAAGTTCACATATTCATTGGAACAGAACCAGAGTTCATGTCAACAAGGTTTGTAGGTGGACCAGAATAAGCTTAGCATTCACACCTACCCAAACGGACCGGACGTTCTGGTCAAATGATCTGGAATGAAATACGCTCAGGATGGGACCAAAAAAGACTCGGGATTTGGATGACATTGGAAAAATTACTGGACTTCCTGTCAGAATAAATTTCTGCTGTCGGATCCCAGCAGGACTTGGTCGAGGAGGTCAGATCTCTGAAACTCCAGAAGGCCAAAAAGGACAAGCAGATAACACCTTTGGACAACATGGTGCCGGAACTGGAGCAGTTCACGGAAGAACAACGTGTTCATCGCCGGTCTGCGTGTTAAATCTCCCTCGTACACTTGGGCAATTACAGCGGAGTTAGACAGGCAAGCAATAAACACTTGTACAAGCTGCATCATGCAAACATTGTGCATTTACTAATTATGTACATTTGTATTCAGCTTCATTAAATGAGATCATTAAATGAAACTGCTTTCATGAATCACCTGTCTGTAGTTCTTTTTTTTTTTTTTTTTTTTTTTTT